GAGAAAAAAAAAAAAAAAAAAAAATTCAATCTAAAAACAAAAACTTAAGCCAAGTTTGAACTTTTAGTTCAAATATTCGTTTTGAAAACAGATTTTCTAACTTAATTGGAAAAAATATATATATTAAATGTACTGTTTTCTCAAATTGAGTAAAAAGGATTTTTGAAAATTAAAAATTAAAAAAAGATTTTTGAAGGTGATTTTGTTTTTCAGTTTGAAAATGTTTTTTCTCAGTTTCTAAAATGTTATTCACATTGTAAAAAATATTCACATTCAAAAGATTTTTTCTTCAATTTCAATTTTGTTTTAGTATCAAATATTTTTCCAATTTCAAGATTTTCTCAGTTTACGGTAAATTTTTGTTTTCAATTTTGCTTTAGTTTAAAAACTATTAACCCCAATGTAGCTCCATATACATGCCACACCCTGATTCTTATTTGTGAAGAATCACAAATCACAATGATTCTCTACTTTGAGTTGCTCAGTTCCATCAAATCCCAATAAAACCAGTGAAATGTGACAGATTGTGATGGACCGCTGCTCCTTCCTTACCCGGCTGGGTGGAGTCCATGCTGGGCTGGTTGCAGTCTTGAGCAAAGTGTCCATTCACTCCACAGTTGTAGCAGGACACTGTGCCGTTCTTCTTGTTGACCCCGCCGCCCCCCAGTATGGCAGCAGGCAGCATCCCCAGGTGACCCGGGTAGACCGGCTGGTAGACGCGCTGAGGGAACGATGCCGCTGGCGCCATCTGCTGCTGGAGGCTGTAGTTGGCGGCCGCCACTGCCACCTGGGCCTGGCTGCCCATCATATGGGACGGGCCCTCCGCCTGGCTGTGGGAGTGAAGGTAGGGGGATGGGTGGACGGGGGGTGGGGCAGCAGGGAAGAAGGGGGGCATGGTCGGGGGGCCGTTGGCCTGGTGGGGGGCCTGGGTTTGGGCGAGGTAGAGGAGAGACTGAGGAACGCTGAACATCTGCCTCGCTACTGCTGCCATCTGGTGGTGGAAGTAAAGGGGGGGCTGGCAGCCGGAGGAGCCCCCCACCGCACTGCCGCTGCCTCGGTTACCACAGTTGTTATGGCAACCGCAGGCCCCACATCCCACAGGGGGCTGCTGCTGCTGGAGGGGTGGCGTTTGCTGCTGCGGGGGCATCTGCTGCTGGGTTTGCTGGACAGCTACGGGGTTGCCAGGGGCAACGGGGCCGCTTCCACAGGAAGCACTGCTGTTGCTGTAGGACGCAGAGTCGTTCTGCGGTGCACTGAGGCCGAGCGCCGGGCTGAGGCTGGGTGGGGGCCCAGGGGAGTTAGAGGGGACAGCCGGAGGAACAGCCGCTCCCGGGGCCACAGGGGCCCCCAGGGTGGGCATCACAGATGGGGGTACAGGGGGCACGGAGGCCAGGGTGTAGGGAGAGGGCAACCCTGACGGCAGGATGCCATGCAGCTTATGGTGGGTGGCCTCCATGTGGGGTAGGGGTGGGGCCAGGCCGGGCTCCTGGCAGGGCAGGGAGGGGGACGAGTATGCAGGCGGCCCCGGGGACATGGAGCCCAGCGCTCTGAGAGGGGCCTCCACCTCAGCGGGCCCTTGGCTGTGGGGCAGACCTGTCTTAAACCTCTGGACCAGAGGCTGGACCCCCCCACCCACTGAGTGATGCAGGGCCAGTGGGGGGCCCCCAAAGGTCGTCAGCACCTCCCTCTTCTCCGGATCACCCACAATCCCTGGGGTGGGGACCACCGACAGTGGCCCCGCTGGCGGGGGCTTCCCATCTGGGGCCACGGGGTCGGGGGCCCCGTTGGGGAGCAAGCAGGCCAGGGGGGGCAAGTAGGGAGATGAGGTGAAGTCTGGGCCCTGGGGGGCAGCGTCTGCCAACCCAGCGCAGTCCGCCTGCCGCGTGAAGAACAGGTCAGGGGCCTCGCCCTTACCGCCGTCATCAGAGTGGCTGTCTGAGTCTGACAGAGACAATAACAGATATCAGTTAGAGATCAAACATGATTATGGATTATTGCTAATAATCACTTCTTGAAGATGTTGGAATGTTTCAGAAAACCTTTAAAAATCTTGATTTTTATTTCTTAAATGTTACAGAAAGAACCTGATTGCTCAGAGTGCCATATACAAGCATAGTGATGAAAAGTTGAGTGGAAGGAAAACATACTTTTAAAATCAGTAGCATTTTCTTACTTTTTACTGATAATTTCAGAAGTTGCTGTGGTTTACATGGAGTGGTGTGTGTGTGAGTGTGTTTCACCTTTGTTGTTGTCGTCGTCGCTCTCCAGACTCTGGCGCCTCCTGTACTGGGGGCTGGAGGGAGAGCTGCAGCTCTCGGACGACGTTTCCCCAAATGTATCCGCATGAGAAGGTCCAACTGAAACAACATTGTCGTGTCAGTCACAGCATTTCCCTCAGCAGCTCCCATCTTCTCATTCATTTGGGTTTTCCTGTTGCTATATCAACTTCTGCAGTTCCTCACCTTTCCTCTGAGGCGACAGGGCCGGTAACAAAGTGCCATTAGTCAGAAAGGCAGCGCCTCTGCCCTTCACAGCCATCTTGTCCCTGCAGACAGAAAACATTCCAGAACATCAGCTGGACCTGAAGCATCTCTACACTGGGATTACTGCGAAGGCCAGCACTAGAGAACAAAAGTGGGTGTGAAGTTTCTACAGAATGTAAGGACTGCAAACTCTGTAGTTAAAGATACTTTTAAGACAGCTTTTTACGTCTCTGTTAACAGTGAAGATAGTTCATATTCGATTGTCCTTCACTCGGTAACAGCGTGCATAATGAAGAGTGTTTTCTGGTCAGATATTTTATGGCCAGACAAGCTGAAAAACGGCTGATTAGGGTTAAGAGGTGATTGTTGGTAATATCTCTCTCAGTTCTTCCTGCTGTGTGCTAGTAGCCATATTTACATCCAATCATCGTGCAAATTTTTAGCTAACTTTTGAAATGCAGCAAAAAAGAAAAATAAAATGAATTCAGTGTGTTTCCATATACAGGTTTGGAGCAAATCTACCCGACTCCGCAAAGTTTAATTTTGTCAGATTCTGGTGTTTACACAAAGACGGCTCCCCCTAGTGGTTCACTAATTTCTACCCAGTTTTGTTCCAGTCTACCTTGCTTTTGTTTTTCTTCCTTTTCTGCAGAACCTACCTGTCTCCAGGCAAAAATCTGCTCTTGCTTTTAGATGCTGGGTGGCTTCTTCTGTCGGGATCCAGGTGCTGGAAGGAAGGTCAGAGGTCAGAAAGAAGAGGCATACAGCATTTAGCATGAGAAGACAACAAATGACTGCGGGCCGGCGTCCAGCAGCTCCATGGTGGATGTGCTCCATCAGCAACAAGCTCTCTCACACATCCCGTTCACGTGGCAACCACACACACACGGCTGTGTCATTCCTAGCTGCTGTGTCATCCCTAGCCTTACCAAATCCCTCCACATGTCTGCCGCCTGCAATCATTAACCCGTCTTCATGGTTAGTGCCATGAAGACGGAGTGAATCATTACAGCAGCTGCATGTGACAGCCAATCAGGAAGCAGCTCCTGGGCGTTCCTCCACAGGACAGGCAGCATTCCTGATTCTGCTTTAAACTACAACAACATCGCTTTACGTATCTCGAAAGGAAATGTAAATGCTCTCATATCTTCCGAGTTTCTTCAGAGTGGATGTGGACGATGTCTAGGCTCTCATGACTTTCATGACACGCCAACAGCTCAATATCAGGACAACAAAGATTATATTCTATAGTAACCCATCCTGGATGACATCATCAGTTGCTGGGAAGCTCTGCTAATCCAGCTGCCCCTCTTTAAACCTGTGTCTGGCCATTTGGTTAGGAAGATGTTGGAGTAGGGGAGCTGAACTTCCTCCTCCCTCTGCATCCATGGAGCCTGCGTTTCTATTTCTCTGGGATTTGGGGTCAAAGTTCAGGTATTTTTGAGCTTTTGAGATGCTGATAAGCTTCTCCCAGTTGTAAAAAAAAAAAAATAATAAAACAACAAAAAAGAAATCACCTTGTTGTCATGGTTACACATAACTGCCTGAAAGTGAAACATTAAGAGTAAAAATCCTTCCAGCTGCACGGTGTCCAGAACCAGAGAATAACTGACCAACAAAGCAGGAAAATGAACAAAAGAACAAATCAGAAACAATAAATCAGAGTCAACATCAGCAAAATCACATGAAGGATTAAATTAGCTGAAAGAGAAGCAGAGGTCTTCCCACCCTACTGAACTAAAACAAACTGGGATAGGTGGGCATTTATCGTATCGTTTAGGGAAAACTTTCTTAAGATAAGAATTTTGATTTGTTGTCACAATAAATTTCAGCTATTGCTGATAATTTAAAAAGCAAAATTGACAGTAAGATTGGAAATTCTATTTTTGTTATTTTCTAAACTGCTTTTTCCACAAGAGCATCAATACATATCAGTAAATTTGAAAATATGATTAAATGAAGTTACAGTGTGCAGCTTAATGATATAAATCAGACTTTTTAAGTAAGTGGCGTCCTGAAGAAGCCTGTTTCAAATGGAAATGTTTTTTTCAGGAACAATACTTGTGTTTGTGGGGCTGTGAATGCTGGCACAGCAACACAGATACATAAAATAGAAATAATAAATAGATTTTTTTCAATTTGTGGTGCTATTACCACAACAGTACCACAAAAAACTGAAATAAAATTACAGCTCCATATTGTCCAGCCCCACACTGGTATAACATGAAATAATAAGCTAACAGAAAATGAACCGAGAAAAAAAGTGTAAACTGATTTCATCGGTGACAATATGTGACATCAGGATAATAAGGAAAAATCTTTACAGTCTGAACGCTGGTTTAGACTTTTGCTGACATCTCCACATCAACAGCTGCCATCACACACTAACAGGGATTTATCAATGAAAGGTTGCTTTGTTTCCTGTTGTCCGACCTGCTCAGCGTCCTGGCTGCTCCTCACCACGCTGCTCTTCTTCCTCCTGTCTGGGGGACCGTTGAGCTCTGCTGCGTGGCCCCCCCTCCATGTGTCTCCCTGGGGGCTTTTGGCCCGTGACAATCTGGAAACAGAAGAAGAATCGTCACTGCATGCATCCAGAAATCCACTCTGACGAGCGAAAAGGCCGTCCTACTCACAGCTGACATGGACTCTTGGACGCGTGTTTCTTCTTGTGTCCCTGAACATACGAGTCTGTGCAGAGAAAATATTAATAAACACATCAACATTTATATTCATACAGCTTCTATCTACCTTACACTCACTGATCTCATTGTGTTCTACTGGGATTTTGTGCCACACAGATAAACCCTAAACATGTCCCCTGGTCTAGAGTAGAGTTCATTCCTGAGTTAGAATGGCCCAGTCAAAGTCTGGACCTAAATCAGATTGCGGATATGTGGAGTGACTGGAAAATCAGTTTTGCAGGCCAGTTTGACCTGTGACCCCATCTACGTCAGTGTTAGCAGTTGGAGCTGCTGTTGCTGCGGCGACGCCGACCAGAGACCGGCAACGACGGGCGGCAAATATAGCCTTGAAATACGATGACAGGACCTGTCCAAAAATAAACCCACCGCCCCACCACCCACCACCGGGGCTGTGCTCAGCATGAAGGACAGGCTTCTAGGCAGCGGCTTTAAGATTCTCATCTAACCTGCAGGTTCCCCTCCTCACTGTCACAAACAGAAACAATCAGCGCTCCTCCCACCTTCATCCTGACTGGAGGCGTCAGAGCAGTCTGGCTGGTACGTCGTCCCAGGATGTAAGGTACCTGTTGGAAGACAGAAAATCATCAAAAAAAAAGAGTCATGGCTGGTTCTAGAGCGGTAGCAGCAGTTCATCACACAGCTGAAAAATGTACTTATGATCTCACTGACAGTTCAATTCTGCATCAATGAGTCGGAAATATTTAGAATGTTCAATAGAAAAACGTCGGGCTGGACAGTAAAACCGGAAACAAACGGAAAAAAGGAGGAAATTCAGTATAGTCCAACATTTGAGGTGCCTCATTAAAGCCTTTTCTCAGCATTTGTCACAGGTTCCTACTCACATCTGCAGGTCGGTCTGGAGGAGCTGAAGAAGCTGCAGACCTTCCTGGTCTGCCTGAAGAGAGGCGGGGCAGACAGAAACCTTTCCCTGCAGGCGGACACAGGCGCTGTTATCATGATGTCAGAACTGAATACATGAATATAATATATATATAATGCATGAATGTTTGGATTTGAACAGTTCAGGGAGGCAGCTGGAGACACCGGGGAAAATGTTTGTCCATCCATCATAATGAATGAAATATTCAACAATAACATCAGAGTGTGATGTTTTCCTGACATGTGGCAGCTTTCACTTAAATATATCACAGCAAGAAGAAATATGTTTTAAAGAGGAGATAACGAAGAATTGTTTTTCTGCTTTCATTCACAGAAACACATCGACTGTGAACATTTTTGTTTTAAAAAAATTACATTAATACTGTCATCCCTCTCCAGGATGGGTATTTTATTGTATTGTTTATCATTTATTGTGATAAATTTCTTTTCACAATAAGAATTTTGATTTACCATCACAATAAATTCAAAATTATCAATAATAAAATATAAAAAATTCAAAAATCCACATTGTCAGCCTTTTTTCCCACTATTTTCTCCATGAGAGCAACAGTAAAAACCAACAAGTTTGAAAACATGATTAAATGCAGTGACTGTGTGCAGTTTAGTGATATAAAAACTTCATGTGACTGGTGACCTAAAGCAGTGTGTTTTTAAGACCAGTGTGTGTGTTATGCAGTCACATACAGCTACCTAAAAATGAAATAGTTTTTATTATCACTTCCATTGTCATCACACTGGCACAATAAAAAAACAAAAGCTGTGATAAAACTGTAAGTGCATTTCATCGAAGCCTCTCTAGTTTCCTACTGTGAGAATCTCCTACCAGCATGAAGTCGACATGCTAGAGTTAAAACCAGAGGGAAAAGAACGAGAGGTGTGAGAGGAGAAGAAAGAAGAGGAGGAGGAGGTGGAGGCAGCCAGGCTGGTTTCATTTTCCAAAGTTTCACTTCATAGGAAATGAAAGCTGTAGACAGAAGGACAGCAGGTAGAGCTGAGGGAGCTGGAAACCAAAACCTACAGGATCCTGAAACCAGCAGCTGCAGCTCAGCCAGCTGTCTGCAGCCACATCCCACTTCACCATGACTTCCAGTGGTCCCAGTCTGTATGATCCTTCACCTGAATCATCCTGACAGACTCCAAACAGCCTCAGATCATATCGACCCTTTTATCAGCTCTGTATCAGGCCTGCACTGACTGCACCTTTCTGGTCGATCACTGAGCTTTAAAAAATCCTGACAGTTCTGTCAATTCTCTAAGTTGGTGACAATGGCTGATTTTTAGATCTTTGCAGAGGTAAATAAAAAAAACAAAACAAAACAAAACAAACGATGGATATGATCAGTTTCACATACAAATATCGCCAAACTCCCAGAATTAAGTAAAACAAAGTGGATTGATCGGTACACTCCAAATGAAGAACAGAAAAAGGGATCTTTCTGTTGTATATATTTATATTGATACTTTCTATTTATTTACTGATTTCATTATTATTGGAGCCTTGCAACAGAATTTGGCTCAGTATGTACATTGTAAATTAAAAGGTAAATGACAAAGTTTGTCTATGTCTAAAAAAGGTGAAAGAATGTTCCTTCTGCATTGCTTTGGCTGTAACCACCGTTGCCAAGTCTGCTTATTATTAGCGACTTTGGGCTTGTTTATCTCTAAAGTCGCCTACTGATCAAACAGGTTGCAGGTTGTGGTTTTTTTGGTGTTATTTTTGAACATGAAGTTGCTTATTTGGGCTTGACTTTCCTTCCAAAAAAAGATTATAGCACACTCCCCACAATAAAGCAAACACTAATGGTATGTAGTTTGCAGTGGTGCAGTGTAGAATGCAGGTACATGCTGTAAAAAAACACTTTAAAATGTTTTGGCTTTACACTGTCATCAGTTGGGGGCTTTTTGGGCTTGTTTTCATAGAACTGGTTGCTTGATTCTCACATGATCTGGTAACACAGGATCTAAATGCGGGATCTAACACATGACAATGTGAATTGAGACAGGATGTAAAAAAAAAAAAAAAAAAAAAAAATTGTAGAATGACTGTAAAATGTCGTCCTAAACAAACCGATCATAAGGCTACACCTGGCCTGTGTCTGTGTGCGTTGAACTAGCTGCTAGCTAGCCATTACCTGAGGTTCTTCTCCACCTCCCTGCTCTCGAACTGGTCCCCATGGCTCAGGAGCCTCAGGATGCTTTTCTCAAAAGAGTCCGTGCACTGATCCTTTGGAAGCTGGACAGAAACAATCACACTGATGTGATCTCTGACTGTTTGATCTGACGTCAAGTCAGGAGCAGAGTGCTCACCTTCAGCAGGAAGTTCTCCAGTTCCTGGTGGGTTTTGGTCACACTGCTGGAGGAAGAGTCTGACCACTTCACCTGGAAGCCAGCAGACAGAACTCCGTCATCCACTCAGGACAACAGCAAAAACCAGTTCTGGTCACACAACCTCTGGTGGCAACGCTGACCCAAATCCAGATTTTTCTGCCCATAATGCGACCCATATCTGACTTTTTCACCAGTCGGAATGGCCCAATTCCAATATTAATAAATTCATGCCATAAAGTCATAGCCAAATCCCACATTACACATCGACCAATCAGAGCACATTTCCTGGAACCCTAGGTGCCATGGTTTACCTCAAAGCTGTATTCCTTATCTGTTGCCGTCCGAGAGATCCCCCTGAGCACGATCCTCTCGATGTGAACGGCTGCAAAAGGGTAAAAAAAAAATTACTTCTCCTCTAATATGCGTTTAGAAAATCGTTCCTGACATCAAGAGGAATTTAAATATCCCATTCCGCGAACGTCCATCCTCCCCGTTTCGTTTACCTTCTCTCTGTGTTGCCCAGCGACCAGAGCGCCGGCTCTGGCAGGGGGGATGGGAGGCTGGACACTCTCCAAAGTCCTGCACTGAGGAGGCCGTGAAGTCCAGCTGCTGGCCCAGCAGCTCCTGGAGGACATGAACAGCTCAGTTAGTCCATCAAATCAAACAGACATGTTGAGTTCAGTTCCAGTCATTCTCCTGCAACTGATTAAAAATAAAAGCAGGACAGAATTCTTTTCATGTTATTTCCCTAAAAAAAAAAAAAAAAGCAGGAATACTGATGTATCATATCTCAACTTGAGATGCAACATAGAATCAGCAACAGTTTAAAAAGTAGTACTGTACTGACCAGCGATTGGACAGTCAAAAACTACAAATCCGGCCTCTTTTCCAGTCAGTGAATGCACCAAAGCAGAACAGCTACAGGTTTCGCTGACGACAACACTCTTAAGTGTGGAAGTTATTGAGTGAGGACCCCTCAGTTAGCTATTTACAATTTCAGTAAAGTGTTTCCAACAGTAGTGCAGTTTTCTGGCTGACTCCGATTTTTTATAACACAAAAAGTCTTAAATAACACAGAAAGAAGTCACACCAGATTTGTCGCTGGTCACTTTTTTGACAAAATAAAAAAAAAAATGTCATCGAATTTGTCTGAAAAGGCGCCAACTGTAGCAAAAAAGTTTGGGAGACTACCGTTTACCGCACACCATTTCAATTAGTCAGAAATATTACTGACATGCACAGTTTGATTAAAAGTTCTTTAAGACAAATTTATGAGTTGCTATGAACATGTAAGTAGCAAGCCAGAAATTTCTCCTCTGAAATATTAAGTTGAACATCTGCTAGAAGCTGAAGTCGTGACTTCATAAGACATTTCTGGCACCTGGATCTAATCTGAGCATGAAATTGTCCTTATCTTGACTGGCAGGTGTCTTTTTCTGCCTCAAATAGCTTTCCACTTTGTTATCTCCCTCCACCCAGCACCAGGCCCCCATTCTCGACATGGGGGCCTGGTGCCAAACAACAATACTGCAAATGATCCAGTAAGATTTCTGCCTAGTCAACTACAGTTTCTCTTCAGGGCCCAGTAAAATGTGTGTGGCAAAACTAAGAACATCCTCTTATTAAATGATGGATGGGAGAACTAATTTAAACAGCACAATGTTGAAGTAGTACACCCTAGGGGTTAAGGAGAGGTAAATCATATAAGTTTTTGTTAATTTGAGAAATAAAATGGCAGCTTGACTTCCAAAGCAGCTTCTGACTGAGCAACAACACATCTGGTACTATGTCCTTAGGATAGACAGGTAAAGTCCATATGTTCAGCCATAACACACAGTGCAATGTTTGGTAAATGAAAATAAGTCAAATAGTGATTTTTTTTTTAATTATTTTTTTTAATAAATATCAGTTAGTTTATGTAATGAATCTGTAAGAAAAGCATCAACTAAAATAAAGCACCAATCAGCCATAATCTGTTGTTTCTTATTTTTACAACTGTAATCCTTTAAAAAAAAAACATATTTTATTGTCTTCAATTGTACTTTCTTTATTCGATGACTATATATAAAACATACTTATATTTCCTTAATGGAATCAATAAACAAATACAACTTTTGCCATAAGCCTTCCAAATTTTGGCTTAAGTTAGGACCATGTATGTTGTAAAAAAATAAGTCTATTTTTTTTTTTCTTTTACACATATATAATTATTATTTACTTCCGGCCCTCCTTTGCATAGCACCATCTGTCCAGCTTGAGCTGCTTTTAGCTGCTTTCGGCTGGCTAACGTGTTAGCTAACTCGGTTAGCATCACTGGCTATACCAGTATAAACAGCTAATGCTAAAGCTAAACTACGATGTTAAAGGAACCTTTTAGCTTACTCGGTGACTACAGAATTCACGGTTAGACTTGGGCCCTTTTTTTAAAACAAGTTATATATTTAAGTTTTGTATATACAATTTTAAATTTCACATCTTTAGTGAGTTTTCCTCGGCTAGCATGAAAACCCCCCCACCACTATAGCAACAAGAAAAGGCCCCAATATCAGTAAACTGTTAATTACCGTCGACTGGGCGTTTATCCTGAGCTGTCTCTGTCGCTTTTCCTCCTCCAAGGAAAGCTCGATTTTGTCCAGTTGTCCCCGGATAACTTCCCGTTGGTGAAAATGGAAAGCTGGGTGTAGCGAGGCCATGGTATAGAGAAGCGCCAACTGCTCCAGAGCCCCTGCCGTTGCTTCGTCCCGGTTCTCCTCACATACAGAACCGTCCTGGCACGGTGGATAGAACGGGTGGAGGTGATGCTGAGGGTCCCTGAAAGGAGGCAGGGAGTAGTCATAGTTCCTATACGACAAGGCCAAATCCACGCTGCTGAGTATCCGAGAGAGTATTCCAGCACATTCCCTCCTGTCAGAGCCGAGCAGGGACAGACAGACGATGAGTTTGGACCGAATCACCGGGTCGACCACGTCCGTTAAAACTCCCAAATCGTTCGGGTTATTCGCCCTGCACTCAAAGTCCCGTAAAACGTGGTAATCTTTTCTAGCGAGGTCCTCCAGGTATGATCCCAGAAAGCGGAGCTCCAGGGGTTGGCACATATGCAGCAGCCCGCACATAAACTCGATCCGCTTGGCGGGGTTCAGATGGTGGCCGAACCACTCGAACACGCTCTCTCTGTCCAGATGCGATGCGTGGACGCAGGGTCTCGGCGGCTCCTGCAGCCTCTCGTACACCGAAGGAGAAGATGCCGCCCTGGGAATATGCTGCCTCTCTGATGGATCCAACGAATCGTCCTCCGCCGTCTCGTCGCCTCCTTTCTCGCCAGTTTTCATCGGTAGCTTCATTGTTATCATTATCAGCGATAAAGGAGAGACTTCAAAGTGTAAACAAAATAACCATATGCATTATAGAGCAATACAACCGTTTAGTAACACTAACACGACTGTTTTTACAGTTAGCTAATCATCAGACGATGCCACAGCACTCAGTCCTTTTTTTCCAGAGTGGCTTTCTTCTTCGACTCATCATTTCCGGCAGGGTGCTTCAGTCTTCTCAGTTTACTGCTGCCACCTGTTGGATTTAGTCCAGACAACACCAATTAAAATTAGAAATACATTGGGAAGATTATAGTTATACACAAGAGTTTCTTGTGAAAGTATCACTTTTAACTTTTACACATTTTGTCACATTCCAACTACAAAAACGTGCTTTTTTCCTACAAATAAAAAATTCCATATCTTTACTCGATTTATCCTAAACAAAACTGCTGTGAATTATCTTCAGAGGTCAGGAATGATCAACTTTTGTGTAATTTCTTCTAAAGAGAATCTAACTTTGAACATAGATTTCAATCAAATCAGAGCAAGTGTAAAAAACTAATTTAAAAACAGTATATCTCTTCCTGTTACAATGCCAAGAGGCATAATTTATTCTCAATTTTGTGAAGCCCTTGGAGAGCGTATCATCACATATATTTTATGTAAAATATATTTCATATTTATATGTAAATATATTGTAAAATAATGGTGAGAATGACAGACATAGTTTGACATCCATTGAAAGTATTTCTATATGTTCCTGGTAATATAGGATTAAACAAGACATCATTTACATTAGTGAACGATGGCACAAGGAAATGGTTTTTTTCAGGAAGTGACAATGGAACATGTTCTATTGTTCTCCACCAACTACACCACTGACAGAATGGTACTGGTAGATAATTGTCAAGACAACAAGTTGCAATGGAAATACTGAGTCTGCAGGAGAAAGTCTCTGATGAAGAGTGAGATGACCATCCAAGACTTGTAAAAGTCTAGGCTCAGGAAAAGGGCAGTTAACATGTTGTGACCGCTCAAAAACCAAAGTCAAATTCCTTGTTTATGCAGAAAATCTTGACCAGGAGAACATAAGTGGAAAAACACCATCACAAAATCCAAGGAACACAGTATGTCAAGAAAAAGAATGTGGAGACATTTAAACAGAAGTTAGGTTATAAAAAAAGAAGATCTGAAGGGTTAAGCATCTCACAGAGCTCTGCTAAATCCATCACATGAAAACAGAAAAAGTTTAACACAGCTGTAAGTTAAGCATGGCTGTGGAAGCATTTTAGTTGGATGGGGGTGGTAGTCAGAACTGAATGAAAAGATGATTCTATAAACTATTTTCTTAACACTTCTAGTTTTTATTTGCAAAGATTTAAGAAAACATGTAGTTTGCGGTAACGAAGTCTGAAAAAGTGCAATGGGTGTGAATACTTTAACAAGGGACTGCATGAAGTGATAATTATGCTTTCATAAATAGGATGGAGTCAGACTACAGGCAAGTTAAATGTGTGCACGAGAACCGAGCCTTTGTTTTGCTCATGGAAACTTACTCAGACTCATGGATGTCATTTATTTTAGTTAATGCCGCCCTCTAGTGGAAACTTGTGTTAATTTAAAGTAAAATCAAGCCAAAATAATGAATATCGTCGCCTTCTTAAAATATGGCCTAAGTCTTCCCCACGAAAAAAAAAAAAAAAAAAAAACTTTTGGCAAAAAATGACCAAAGACATTATTTTGGGAAGGTGACAATATGCAATTTTTGGTACAGTAAACATGAAGAAACATGAACAATGTGAAGCACATTCAGTGTATTAGATTCTGATTCTGGACAGTTCTCACTCTCGTCTCAAAACTGAGAGATTAAGAGCATTGGGTTTTGTTCATATACATCCCCATATTGAATTAGAGGAGAGACTGATTTTACCACTATGCTCCAATAGGGGGCAGTGATACACCAGCCCTCCTTCACAGTGAATGATTTCGTTTATCAAAGCTTTTCATTTATTTAGAAAGTATTTCACAGAATACACAATTTGCTTCTACATCCTGCCAAGTGTGTGCTTCATGTTGACTTCAAACATGAAGTACTTTATGTACTTTAAGTACTTTACTTTATTCATAAAGTACTTTCAAGTACTTTATGACTTCAAACCCTCCTCACCGTTATTACACTGAAATACATTGAATACTTGTACCAACCGTCTAGACCCCTGAGATTGTCTGGTTCTGGTCTGCTTTGCATCCCCAGAACCAGAACCAAACGAGGAGAAGCAGCATTCAGTTTCTATGCACTACAAATCTGGAACAAACTTCCAGAAAACTGTAAAACAGCTGAAACACTGAGTGCCTTCAAATCTCAACTTAAAACCCACCTGTTTAGAGTTGCTTATGGCTAAATTAGGATTAGAGTGTGGGTTTTGATGTCTTCAATGTATTTGATGTTTTTAATGTTTTTATCTTTTCTTTTTATCTTTTTATTACTTTCTTTTTATTTCTCTTTCTCACTGTTTCCGAGAGGTTAAAGTCCTTGTCAAACGGCGTTTGACTAAAGTCAAAAGGGTTGGAGACAGCTTTTTATTTCTCTTTCTCACTGTTTGCGTTTTAATTATGTTTTTTTTTTTTTCAACTCTTTCTCACATGCTGTTTTTATTTTAATTATGTAAAGCACTTTGAAATGCCTTGCTGCTGAAATGTGCTATACAAATAAAATTTGATTGATTGATTGATACACTGTCATTAAAGGCTCATATATATATATATATATATATATACACACACACACACACACACACATACATATATATACTGTATGTAGTCATGATCGGTGGTGGAGAGTGATGAGAGAGACGCTGGCAGACCCAGGTAGACATGACGCATGATTTAATGAAACTCCAACAGAGGCGGCACAGTGAAACAGACTAATGACATTACACGACAAGGATCCGACAAGAGACAAAGACAACTGGTGGGACTAAATACACTGGGAGGGTAATCAAAGAAACGAGACACAGCTGAGATCAATCAACCCACAGAGACTCACTGGAGAACAGACTAGTAAACAGTGGTGGGAAGTAACGAAGTACAAGTACTTTGTTACTGTACTTAAGTACA